TGATTTTTCAATAAGATCATTTTCATAGTTACATCTTGCTTTACGTGATTCTATTTTCACAGTTTTGCAAATATTTTTAAATTCCATTACTTTATTCAAATCTTTCCAGATCGATGATATATTTTGATAACGCAAATTTTGTTTTGAACGTACTAGAAGGCTTACTTCATCAGTAAACCATGGATTATTTTTTCTTATCTTTCTTGAATTTACGTCAATTATTGGAATAAAAGCATTACATGATTGACTAATTTTTTCAATAAACAGATAAATTGAACTGATAACCCATCAAATAGATAATTCCAGTCAATTTTATCAATACTTAGGCTTATTTGTAGATAGTCGCATTTACTGTAATCAAATTTATACTTTGGATAATTTTCCATTGCAATAGCATCAAGGTTAAATTTACAAGTTAAAACCAAATGTCCATGATTTATATTTCCTAGAACTGGATTAGACTCAAGTTGATAGACTCGTTCATTGTTTTTTGTAAAAATAAGATCCAAGGTATTTTTTGTAACATATTGTGCATTTTGAAAGGTTGGGATTGATACATGTTGGTACAAAAAACATTCATATATAATATTAATAAATTCATTTTCAACAGAATCTTCACCTACTAAAATATCACTAATGTATTCGTTCGACCATTTTACATTTGGAAAATTAAAATCACCAATAACTAACAAATCTGCAAAATTATTTTTTTCTACTAATTTACAAGCTTCTGTGAATATTTAACTCATTTCAAGCATATCTACTTGTTTGCTTGGTCTGTACACGCAACCAATTAAATATTTTTTATCATTTGCGACTATAATGATCCATATTTGTTCAGTTTTACTTCTATTTAATATACCTTTGTTTACCTCATAAGATATTAAGTTGCTATCTATATATAGCGCAACCCCTCCTCCTCTACGCCCATCCCCCTATTTCGTTTATACAAAGAATATCCTTCGAAATAAATTTCTGATGTCTCATTAAACCAGGTTTCTGTAATAGCAATTATTTGAGGATTTTTAAAACTGCATAAGATTTTAAATTCTTCAACTTTGTTTACTAAAGATATTGCTCATAGTTTTCCATTCTCTCTGCTTCAGTTAAATCAGGCTAAATAAAAACCTCCTTGTATTCTTGCTTTTCTCTTAATAATTTAGATTTTGCTAAAATTGGATTTCTCTCAGAATCTTCATTTAAAATCACTAATACTGGTCCCGGTTTTCCAGTTTGTTTCGTATTTAGCCTTTTTTGGAATGTTGGGACAATTTCTACATTTATTTCATGAAATAGTTTGCTAATTTGTTCTTTATCCTCCTCGTGTTGTTCTTGCAATGCAGCTTTTTTAGATGCAGGAAGGCCTCAGAAAATAATATTTTTTCTTCTTTTTTCTCTATTTTTTTGCTCATTAATAGCTGTATTTACAACAATTAATTGTTCAACTGGGGATTTTTAGAAGAAGAGGTAGACCAATTTTTACTTGTTATAGCATCTGAGTACGATTGTTTTGGCAATGATTCTCGAGAGTCTTTTTCATCCTCTAGTACCACAATACGTGTTTCTAACCCATTCTGCAGACAGTCATTTTCCATTTTTAATATTTTTTTCTCAAGTGCTTTATTTTTTTCTAACTCTATCTCAAGATGTCTCAAATACTCTAATTCATTTGTCAAACTTTCGAAATTTTACCACACCAATCATGTAAGATATTAGAGCCCGTATGATTTCCTGGTCCTAAACTCGGCCAATTTTCCTGCTTTAAAAAATCCATTTCCATGTTATTTTTTCTTTGTATTTATATCTCTAACAATAATGAGTTGGTCTTTGATAGGAGGGCTACCACCCTAAATACCAGTGGATTACCTCCTGATCTCTGAACTTTTGAACAATGATGAGTTGGTCTTTGTAGGTTTTAGATTATTAGCAGAAAAAGAGGAAAAAAGAAAAGTAATGCAGTTTTTTAATTTTTTTTTTAACGGTTTTTATTTCCTGTGAACCTGCTTTTTAACACAAATACTAAAAAGTAGTTTAGATGTGTTTTTTTCTGTTTTAGGTTGATGAGTTTTGTTTTAGTTTGATGAGTTTTGTTTTAGTTGCGTTATATATATATATATATATATATATATA